CAGAGGCAGGTGGATCTTTGTGACTTCAAGATCAGCCTGGTCTACATAGTTCTAGGCCAGCTGGGGCTATGGGGAGACCCTATCTCAAAAATACTATAATAATGATGATAATAATAATAGTAATAAAAATCTTTAGGAGCCTGGCATGGTGGCTCTTTCCTTTAATCTCATCACTCATGAAGTGGAGGCAGGCAGATTTCTGAGTTCAAGGCCAGCCTGGGCTACACAGCAAGCTCCAGGCAAGCTGAGGCTACAGGGAGACTGTTTCAAAAACACAAAATAATAAATAATAATAATAATAAAATCTTTAGAGCGGAGACATAACCCAGAGTTTATGAACACTTGCTGCTCTTCCAGAGGACCTCAGTTCAAATCCCAGCACCCACAAAGCATGGCTCACAACCGCCTATAACTCCAGTTCCAGGGGATCTGTCACCCTCTTCTGGCCTTCATGGGTACCCCTGTACACACGGCATACAGACATACATGCATACATAGATTTTAAAAAAACTAATACACATAAAATAAAAATAATAAATAAAATATTTAAAAATTTTTTTGAAAGGCACGGGGTGTGGTAGTGCATGCCTATAATCCCAGGACTCAGGAGGAAGAAGCAGCTGGATCTCTGTGAGTTCAAGGCCAGCCAGGGCTACATAGTAAGACCCTGTCTCAAAATAAATAAATCTTTAAAATATAAAATGGGAGGGGCGCTGGAGAGATGGCTCAGCGATTAAGAGCATTGGCTGCTCTTGAAGAAGACCCAGGTTAGATTCCCAGCACCCACAACCATCTGTAATTCCAGTTCCAGGGGAATCAGACACCCTCATCTCACCTCCACAGGCATTGCTTGACATGGGTGCACTTAGATACATGCAGGGAATACACTTATACACATAAAATAAAAACAACAGATCAACAAATAATATTAAAAAATAAAATGGAGCAAGCCTTTAATCCCATTGCTCATGAGGTGGAAGCAGGCAGATCTCTGTGAGACCAAGGCCAGCCTGCTCTACATAGTGAGATCCTGTCTGGCAAAACACTCATACACATAAAATGAAATACTCATACACATAAAAGTAATAAATATTAAAAAAGAATATATTCTTTTCCTTTGTTTGGGGGGGGGTGAAGTCTAAAGTAGCCCGGGCTAGTCCCAAACTTGGTTATGTAGCCAAGGCTGACCTTGAACTCCTAACTTCCTGCTTCCACTTCCCAAGTGCTGAAATTATAACCATGTGCCACCAAGCCTGGCTTTGAGGTTTTCTTTTGTGTGCGAGTGGTTTGGGGTTTATTTTGTTTTGTTTTCTTTTTTGAAACAAGGTCTTTCCATGCATCCCTAGCTGGTCTGGAACTCATGACAATCCTAGTTTTCTGCATGATAGACAACTTCTTTTCCCTTTGACCTAAAGAGATCTGTGTCTAACGTGTTGATGCTGCTCAGGGTCAAGGTCAGCTGCCACCCTATTCCCCAACCTTCCAAGCAGCAGCTGCCCAGGTGGTGGGGCCCCTTACCTAGCAGGACAACTGCTTTCTTTATTAACTTCTGACAAACATTTCTGATGTCAGAATGGCCACAGGAAAAGGAGGATAGAAGTGGGCATTCCTCAGACCTGGACTGACACATTCGTTACCCAAACAGGGCAAGCTGGCCTCAGCCCAGGGCCTTTGGGAACCCAATGTCCACTCAATATTTGTATGGGGTTCCAGGTGAAGGCTACGAAAGGCAACAGATATGTGAAAACCACAGGCAGACCATATTCTTTGCATTAGGTAAGAGATTAAAAATAAATAAAAGCTTTGCACAGCCTAGATTTGCTTTGATTTGGTTTGAGACAAGGTCTCATGTATCCCAGGCTGACCTTCGACTCACTAAGAAGTAGAGGCTGGACTCGAACCCTGATTCTCCTCTATCTCCCCATGCTAGAATCACAGGCCTGTACCACCACAGAGACCTGAAGAAACTTCCTCGTAGTGGGGTCTGCTCCTGGCTCCAAGCAGGGGGGCCACGGCATGGCGTTCCCATCTGTGTCCCCTTAACTTTGCAGTGTGCTTGGGTTTTTGTCCCCCCTTTGGGATTTACCTGCAGCCCCAGCTGGCCTGGAACTTTGTAGACCTGGCCGGCCTTGATCTCACAGAGATCCCCCAGCCTCTGCCTCCCAAGGCCAGCTGCCTCCTTAAAGGCGAGCTCACCACCACGCCCTACTTTGGTATTGTTTTTTTATTTAACCAAAATGTTTATATTTATTTGGGTAGGTGCACTCCACAGCTCAGGTACAGAAATAGGCGCAGAATTTCTACCATGCCAATCTAGGGCTCGAACTCAGGTCATCGAGTTTAGCAAGTCTGACTTCCAAAACACCAAAAATTCTTGCAAGGAAAGCTCAAGCTTGGGCCAAGTTCAAGTGTGCAGTAATCTTTTTAAAGCCTTGTGTGTGCTAGGCGTGCCTTCAGCTAACTTCTGCCTCTTCCCTTTCTCCTTTCCGTCTCTTTTCCTTGAGCTGGAGGATGGGTCTTGGTACATTCCCAGGCTGGCCAACCCCTGGGCTCAAGCCTTCCTTCCTCCTCGGCCCCTCACCCGATTTAGCTGGACAGGGGGAACTGAGCATCTGCTAAACACACTTGAAAAACGTTCCACCTTGAACCACCATTTTATTGTTTCCGAATTCAACTTCAGGCTCGGACCGACAGGAGTAACAATGCAGGGTGACTAAACATTTTTTTTTTTCCTAACAAAGGGGGAAAAAAAAAAAACCCGCAAAGGGTCAAAGTGCAGAAGCCTTCCCGGTCTCCCACCGCAGCAAGTTCAGTGGTGCAAGGGGGAGAGGGAGAGCGAGTCCCGGGAAGGGCACAGCCAGCAAAGGCGGCTTCCGCGCCCCGCCCCTTCCCCCCACGCTCGGAGGGGTCACGTGACGGCTGAGAAAAAGTAGGGGAAAGGTTACGCGAGCCCCGCCCCCGGCTGGCGCGTCCCGAGCGCGCTCAGATCCTGTTCCACCGGCCGTGCCCACGGAGACCTTCCGGAGCGAGCCGGGCGCAGCGCGCAGTGCGTGGGAAGGCCGGGCCCTGAGGCGCGCTGCCCTGGGGACCGACCTGCCCGCTGGCCCCGGTGACCCCCATCGCCGCCAACAACCCCGCACGGCTCCAAGTCAAAAATTTAAGTATTTTATGAATGGGCCAGAGAGAGCAGAGTTGGGTAAGCGCAGGCCAGTGCCCCAAGACTCCCGGGGGAGCCAGGCGCTGACCACTACTCCCCGCAGTGAGCGCCAGGAGCGGGGCGGATTTCACTCTCGCATCTCATTCAGGTGGCTCTCCTAGTACTAACTGGAAAGGCTGTTTTGGCCTGTGCCTGCCTGAAGCCAATTTGGGCCTCTTTTGTTCTAACCCTGGGCAGTAATTCCAGGAGGGTAAGATGGAGTTCAGAGTCGGGGTGGGGGGTGGGGGTGGGGGGTGTTCACGCCTATAATCACTGCTCCAAGGAGATGGAGGCGAGGGAGGACCAGCCTTAGCTACAGAGCAGGTTGGAGTGACCAGCCTGGGCTACTAGAGACCCTAGTTCAAAAAGAAAAAAGGAACAGTTCCAGAGGAAGGTTAAGTCTAGCCAGGCTTCCTAGGAAAGAAACCAGTAATTTGCATGAGAAAAGCACCCACTGGCTCGTGGTACTGCGCAAACCAGTCCAAGAAACCAACTCTGAATGCGGATGGTGCCCAGACCAACCTGCAGTTGGGCGGCTGCCTGGAGCCAGCTGTGCCCGACGCACCGCGGACCTCACGTTTGCAGGGCTCACTAGCCCAGGGTGACTGGATTGGGAGAGGGTGGGGAGATGCTTGAGGGTTCACCTAAAAGGTATGGTTTTGAGGGCGATTAAACATGCTCAGATATCTGGAAAGACCAGAAACCAGACGCCTGTAAAGAAAATGCTGTAACTAAATACACGGCCCCAAAGGTTTCTGAACTCAACTTTCATTTTATTTAGTAACTTACAAAGTTACCAGTTTCCAACTAAAATCTGTCCTTGGACAAATACTGTAATACACGGAAAAGAAAACAGCCGACAGTCGAGTCGGCCTGGATGGAAAGTACTGTTTGTTCTGTAATTACTTACTTTTTAACTCTTGAAGTTAAAAAAAAAAAAAAAAAAAAAAAGTGAGCGCTCATCTGTATTTCTAGCGGCTTTGAGGAAAGCCAGGCCCCGATTTACAGGAGGATGATGAAGGGACTCCCGGGGGTGGCTGCGCGCTGGGCTCCCCAGGGCCAAGGGGCGGGTGTTGCGCTTGGTTACCTAGGGCCAAGGGGGTGGGGGGTGCTGCGCGCCTCGTTCCCCAGGGCCAGGTTGGCTCAGGACTGGTCACATGACGACGCCCCCCACCTTCCCACCCTCCCGGGGCAGGCGCGACCTTGGGCAGCCCCTGCGCACCCACCTGCCCTTGACCCTCGCGTGGAGCGGGACCATAAGGGGCGCGCATGCCCGAGGTTCCCGCGCCAAGGGCGTGTCGGACGGCTGCAGTACGGGGACTCGTGGGGAGGGGATGAGACGGGCGCCGGCCACCTGCCAAGGCCGAGGCTCAGCATCCCTTCCGTGGACCTACAGGCACAACCCACCCGCGGAGTGGGGAGTCGGATGTGGCAGGGGAAAAGGCTTGGTGTCCCCACTGGCTCCATCCACCCACGGAGTGGAGAAAGGGCCGAGGTGTCCCCCGGTCCCGAGCATCCCTCCTTCTGCAGCGGCAACCCCAGACCCAACCCACACTCAGCGGGAAGGCCCCCGGGTGGACATCCGGAGCCAGCGGCCCCACGCACCCAGGGCGGAGGCGTCCTGCTCAGTCCGGGTCCCGGAGCATCCTTCCTCCCACCCGGGAACCCCAGACCCATCGGGGCCCCGTGGGGACCTGTGCGCCCCTCCCGGGCCGGGCTCGGGGGACACAGTCGGGGTCCCCCCCCGCGCGCTCCCACGGCTGACACGCCCCGGCTCCGCAGGGCTCTCCACGCGAGGCCTTACCGAGTCTGCAGGCGGCGGCGGCGGCGGCGGAATGAGCGAGCGGAGCCGGGGCGGGAGGACCGCGGGCCAGACCGGGTGCGCGGACGCGGAAGGCCGCGGATTGGCTGAGCCGGGCGGGGCTGCGGCGCAGGCGGACCCGGGCGGGGCCTGGACGAGGAGGGGCCACGGGGGCGGGGCTCCCGGGAGAGGTCAACCGAGGAAACTGAGGCTGGCACGCGTGCACGCCATCATAGCCTCTGGCAGGATGGATGCTGGACCACATGCCTCACCTGGCGAGCCTCAGTTTCCTCATCTGCAAAACGGGCCGACTCATTAGGTCATTGTCTATAAAAGCACGTTCGACCGGGCCGGCTTAGGCTCAGTTTATATGCACCTGGGCATAAACTTCCCACCGCACCCCCGAGGGGTTGAAGTTGTTTATAACCCTCCCCACCCTTTTTTTTTTTCTAACCATACCGGAGCTCGGTCGGAAAAAGGATGGCTCAGCTAAGATCACAGAGCTAAGAAGTGAGTCCACACCCCAAGTCTGATCTTATTCCCAAGTGACAGCTGGTTGGGGTAGCGTGGCTATGCGGGCCAAAACACTCAGTGTCCCCTTCATCCATGGGATTAAAAGCATGCTTCGTTTGCAGGGCTTTGAAGAGGTTTATAAAAATAATTAGGGTCGCCAGGCGTGGTAGCATGCCTTTTATTGAAGCACTCGGGAGGCAGAGGCAGGCGGATCTCTGTGAGTTCCAGGCCAGCCTGGTGCTACAGGGAGACAGACCCTGTCTCAAAAAGACCAAAGAAATTAGGGTCTATGGTCAGTGATACAGAGCGTGCTTAGTATGTGTAAAATCCTGGGTTCGAGTCTCAGCAGTAAAAAAAAAAAATAGGCTAGAGTAATTTTGACGTCGAGAGGAGTGCTTGGGGCCTAGGGCAGGGTGGCCTCACTGGAGAGGGGCCCAGTGCTTGGCAGCACCCAGGGATCGAAGGTTGCTGGGTGAGATGGGAGCAGGGTGCAGAGAGGACAGGCCAGACTGGGCAGAATGCCCTTCCTGACAGGTGGAGCTCCCTCCCTTGTCTTTCAGTGCACTGCTTCCTGCATACAGCAGGCTCTCCATACATGCACTTGTGACTGAGCCCTGGCAGCCCAAGGTCAAGCGCTGCTGGCTGTGGGAGAGTGGGGTCTGCCTCCATCTTTCTCTGCCCCCAAGGCAGAAGGGTTCCTAATAGAAAACGAAAGTTCCCCCCTTGATCCCGCCCCCAGCTACAGTTAACTGTTGTTCTGTCGCTCACCCCACCCCCACCCCCTTTGTTTTAAAAGGCCTTGGCGATTTTACTTAGCTGACTCTCAGGGTCTTTCACCAGGCTGTTCGGAATTCCCTTTGACCATCTGTGACTAATTCAACCGGCCCCCCCAAAAGACATTTAGGAACCCCCCTCCCCAACACACACACCACTGGCCGCCTCTGAACACCTGATACTTAGACACGAAGGGCCATGTGGGTGGAACCTGCCGGCATGCCTTCCCGGGAATGCTTCCTAATGTCCACTCCACTCCCGATTGGGTCCCGGCCTGACCTCCTGAAAGGGTAAAGAACCTCTCCTTGATCTGCTTTTCTTTGCTGGTGGTCCAGGCCCCACACAGCTGCCTGTCTCCAGCTGGGTCTGCCCTAACTACTCAAGACGCTCCTCCTGCCTCCCCTATTTAAGGCCTGTCACACTCACCTTAAGTGCCCTTCCTTGCTGTCCCTGGGACCACAGCGCTAACAGGTCTCCAAGGACGTTTCCTGCTTTCGCTGAGCCCTGCCTTGCTTCCTGCTGGGATTGGCTCTGTGCCCAGTCTGTTGGGAAGGGCTCTGCTGCATCCACCCTGCCCTCTCCAAGTGTGCCACCTCCATACCACCTGCAAGCCTGGCTGGGCCAGAGCAGAGCTGGGACCCATCCCTGGGGGTGCCCAGCCACCTTGCTCACCTGTGCCCTGGGGAGGGGCAGTCATGGGCCCTGCCCCTGTGGGGACCTAATTCCCCTCCCTCTGTCCCCTCTGTTCCCAGGGACTGCAGCTCCCTTGGGTGGTTATTAATAAAGAGCCAGAGAACCAGGTCCCTAGGGAGTTCCAGGGCCCTAACCTAAATATCCCAGGAGCTACAATAACTTTTCTCAAGGTCTGTTGGTTATTTTTCAAATTCTTTTTTTTTTTTTTTGGTCTTTTTGAGACAGGGTCTCCCTGTAGCCCCAGCTGCCCTGGAACTCACTATGTAGACCAGGCTGGCCTTGAACTCACAGATATCCGCCTGCCTATGCCTTGTGAGTGCTGGGATTAAAGGCGTGTGCCACCATGCCCAGCTATCAAATTCATTTTTAATTGAGTAGACTGGGCCAGCCACCTACCGTGGGCACTTTTTCTTTGTAAATATTTTATTACTTTTATGTGTATGAGTGTATTGCCTGTATGTATGTAAGTGCACCCGTGTCCTGCAATGCACACGGAAATCAGAAGAAGGCTTCAGATCCCCTGGAACTGGAGTTATAGTTAGTTGTGAGCCACCATGTGGGTGCTGGGAATCAAACCTGAGTCCTCTGAAAGAGCAACCAGCGCTCATAACCCCTGAGCCATCTCTACAGCTCCCCATGGGCACTTTTTCAAAAAGAAGGAAACTTTTATCTTGTATGGTGGCACACACCTTTAATCCCAGCACTCAGAAGGTAGCAGCAGGTGGATCTCTGTGACTCAAGGCAAGCCTGGTCTGCATAGTGAGTTCCAGATCAGCTGGGACTACAGAGAGATCCTGTCTCAAAAAATATATATAAATCAGGGCTGGAGATGTGTCTCAGTGGTTAGAGTGCTTGCCTAGCATGCAGGAAGCCCGGGTCCTGTCCCTATCAATGCATAAATCAAACATGGTGGTACAGTCCTGTATTCCCAGCACAAAATTCAAGATCCTCCTTAGGTACATAGTAAGTTTGAGGACAGCCTGGACTACATGAAACCCTGTCTAAAAAAAAAAAATCTAGCCGGGTGTGGTGGTGCACACTTGTAGTCCCAGCACTTGGGAGGCAGAGGCAGGCAGATCTCTGTGAGTTCAAGGCCTGCCTGGTTTACACAGTGAGTTCCAGGCCAGCTGGGGCTACAGGGAGACCCTGTTTCAAGAAGACAAATATATATATATATATATATAATCTAAAAATAAATTCCAAAAAACCTCAAAACAACAAAAATAAGATAGCTTGGTTAATTGTAGGGCCTGGTGCTAGCTAGGCAGGTGCTCTACCACCGAACTACCACCGCCCTTTATTTATGTATTTTATTTTCTCAGTGCTGGAACTGGAAAGCCAGGGCCTTGCACACAGTAGACTGAGGTACATCCCAACCTTAATTATTCTTTTTGAAATGCCATTGTCCCATCTAATAGAATGTTCTGGGCCCTACTGTTTTGCCAAGAGCACGACGGTCTCCATGGCCTGTCTCCCTGGCCTCCTGTCCCGCCAGCAGGTTCTGATCCAAGTGTTGGAACTCAGTTTTGGACCTAGTTTTGGGGAACAATGTCCCATGGTAAAGACTCTTGAAGTCCCAGAGCCTGGAGGCCTACTGAACTTGAACCTTGAGCTCCTGCACATGTTTAGAGTAAACAGCAGAGGTAATATTTGTTCAGCCAGCATCACCGGGCTCCATGAGGACAGTCAAGGTGTCGCAAGGATAGTGAACCCAAGGCAGCGGGTGGGCAAGCTGGGAAAGGGAACATCTACAACAAACATGTCCTGAATCCAAGAGGCTTGTGCTGTGACCTGGTACTCATCCCAGGGAGTGTGTCTGTGCTGTCCAGGTGCCCTTCCTGGTCCCCTCCAGGGCAGTGACACTGCTCGGCCTCCCAGCATGTACAGCAGGTAACTTTGGCACTGGTTATGTCGCAGAGGTTGTGTGGTGCAGAAGCAGGAGGCAGAGTGGTAGTTCTGGCCTTTCCTTGTCCCTTCTGGGTCTGTTTCATCACTTTAGTAAATGAGGGCAGGGGCTGGAGAAATGACTCGGCAGTTAAGAGCCGTGGCTGCTCATGCAGAGGACCTGGGATTGATTCCCAACACCCACATGGTGACTAATAACCATCCATAACTCCGGTTCCAGGGGACTCAGACACTGGCTTCTGACCTCCACAGGCTCTGCATGACACAGGTGCACTTAGATATATACAGGTATGACACTCATAAAAGTCAAATAAAAATAGTAAATATATTTTTTTAAAACATGAGGGCAGAAGGGCCAGGCCTATGACACTCATAAAAGTCAAATAAAAATAGTAAATATATTTTTTTAAAACATGAGGGCAGAAGGGCCAGGCCTGGTAATATAGGCCTTTAATCCCAGCACTCAGGAGGCAGAGGCAGGAGGCTCTCTGTGCGACTGAGACCAGCCTGGTCTACATAGCAAGTTCCAAATCAGCTGGGGCTACAGAGAGACCCTGTCTCAAAACCAAACAAATGGGGGGTGAAGTGGGGGGGATGGTTCAGTGGTTAAGAGCAGGGGCTACTCTCCCAGAGGACCCTGCAGTACCCACGTGGAGGCTCTCAACTGTCCAACTCCAGTTCCAGGTGATCCAACACCCTCTACTGGCCACCATGGGTTTTGCACAACACAGGGGCACTTATATGCAAGCAAAACACTCAGATGCACAAAAGAAAAATTAAATCATACATACAAACAACACCAATAGAAAGCATTGAGTCCAATTTGTGCTTCCCACGTGCTCTTTTTTTTATTTTTAAATTTTTTTTTTTGGGGTCTTTTTGAGACAGGGTCTCCCTGTAGCCCCAGCTGTCCTGGAACTCACTATGTAGACCAGGCTGGCCTTGAACTCACAGAGATCTGCCTGCTTCTGCCTCCCGAGTGCTGGGATTAAAGGCGTGCGCCACCATGCCTGGCGAAAGTTATATTCTTATAACTAACTGTGTTCTTATAGAATATCCTGGTAAACTTAGGCCATTTATAGTTCCCTTGGTTTTGCTTACTGTGTGGATACCCTGAAATGTAACCCTGAGATGCTCAGAGATTTTTTTTCTTTAATATTTTGTTATTTTTATTTTATATGTGTATATGTACCATCTGCATGTATGCAAGTGCACTCGTGTTGTGCAAT